TTATTTTGGTGTGTTTTTTTTCTTTCCTTTCCAGGTAGCTTCTGCTGTGGCAGCCTGTTTCTCCAGAGTAGGCACTGTGGGCAGTTTGGTACTTCCCTCTGCACAGGCTCCATGAGGACTGTGCAGCCAGGAGGAGGAGGCTGTCACCCTGCCTGGTCCCTCTCTGTTGTACTTCTCTTCTGTATGGGTTGTTGCACTGCTGAAGTGTCTGAGCAGCTTCCATCTATGCACTGTACAGTATGACAAACATCAGACTGTCACATGCTGTGCCTTGTCCTCATCCACGGGGAAGATGTGTGGGTAGTGGGAAATGAGAGAGTGCGGCTTTCAGTTCATGTGCTTTAGTACCTGGTAGAGTAGGTGGGATAATGCAGTGTCTCTAAAGCTCCTGATGAACCCTGTGATGGCTGCTTATGGGAAAGGTTGTCCTGTGGGCCACCAAGGAAATCCTGTGTCCTGCACAGAACAGCTTTGCTTTTACTGAGTAGTGTCTGAAGGGTACTGGGGAGATAGATGGTTAACAGAGGCCCTTCTGTGAGACTTTGGTTTTTAGGTATCCTGTGCCTTGGCATTAGAGATGAGAGGTTAGATCTGTAATTTGATTTTTTTTAAGTCCATGATCTGGCAGCTTAGAGAGTAGAAGACAGTTCTCATGTGGTTTTGACTGCCTGCTCAAGTAGAGTCTGCGTTGCTTTTTATTAATGTGATTGAAGTGTTGAGGGCTTTGCACTGGGTGAAGGAATATCACTCAATGCACTTCCCCCGGGCAGTGACAAAGACAGGATGAGCATTTTTTTTTGTCTAACCACAGCTTTTCTCTGAACAGTTTTCAGGGGATTCAGATACAGGAAGAGTTACCTAAAACTTGTGGCTGAGCTGAGAGCTCAAGCGCAGCGGCTACAGGAGGAGGCAGAGAGAGAAAGAACAATGGCCTGTCCTCGGCTCTCCTGGGGCTGGGGGCTCCACCAATGCGGTGGGCAGGGAGGTGCCGACATTGCTGCCATTTGAGAGTGCGGCTTTCTCCATGGGGAGCAGGAGCAGCAGGTGAAGGTCGTTTGCCTGGCTGTGTTGGGAGGAGTGCCAAGCTGTGTCTTTCCCACACAGTCCATGCAGCAGAGCCTGTCCCTGTCCTGGGCACACGGAGGATGGATCTCATGGATTTTTGGATGCTAGATTTCATCTACTTCTTTCCTCCTGTTGCAGAAAGAATCTCCCTCCCAGTCCCCATGCCACGAAGGAGGCACCCTCAGCCTTGTCCCCATCGTCCTGTTAAGCCACCGCAGCCACCAGTGCCACGGCCACGCAGCAAACTAACAGAGGTAGCGATATTGGCTCTGCATGGGGCTCCTTAGCCGGGTGTCCTGGTTCCCCACTCCCTTCACCTTCCGCATGCATGTGGTCCCAGGAGAACATTGTCATTCTTGTTACGACAAGTGAGAGAGTCCTTTCCTACTGTGGTTAGTTAAAAAGCATGGTCAGGACCTTTGAGGAACTGAAAGCAGCATTTGATAGTTTGCAACTGGTCTTGTCTTAAGGGACTCAGGAATGGGATCACTACCAAAGTGATCCCTTCAAAGGTCCCCTGCCATTGACCTTGCTTTCACGCCTGCTTTCCCCCTCTCTCCACTTTCAGTCCACTCCTTTTGATAACTTCTTGGACCCTTCTGCGCCTCGCCCTGTTCTGGGGACAGAGGAACAGACTGGAGAAGAGGCAGAAATGAGGAAACTCAAGAGAGGAGCAACTCTCCGCTGGTTCAAAGAGACGCAAGCCCAGAAGGTCATGCAGGATGATGGGGCCTTTCCAAGCTGGCTGCATGGGATGATCAGCCGGAGGTGAGTACGCTGGACACAGTGGCCGCAGTTTGGGCTGTGGCAGGCAGGCAGGCAGAAGCTGCTGTGTCCTTAGGAGGACTGCAGAGGTTGGATTTGCCAGGATTTGCCTCCTTAAGGAATGGGAGTGACCTGCATAACCTTTCATTTTTAGGCTGTGAGCTTCAAACCCTTCGGGGGAAGCTTGGAGCTCCCTGTCACAGGATGCAAATGCTGAAACTTTACATGGGTCCAGGGAAAGACTGTGGAAACTCATAGGAAATAAGTCCACTGTGGATTCCTAAATATAGGTCCTGTGCAGGGAAGGGAGACTTGAAAAGTACTTGGAGAGGAAATATATGCATGCGTTTACCCTGTTGTGGACCGTTTGCAGAGACGTGATATGGAATGAAGATGGACTTTTGGTCTGACTCATTATGACTGTTCTCATATCTCTCAGTTTAGGCCAGGAGGAGATATCACTTTACAGCAAGAGAACACAGAATTAAGTGTACATTTATTTTAAAAAAGTATTAAGAGAAGCTTTAGTGAGTACCCAATAGCAAGATTCCCTCAAAGCCCCCAGAGACAGGAAAAGGAAGGCTTTTTGTTGATACCTCTGCCCATCTAAGGAGAGTGCAGCATAGGTGGAATTTGCATCCCTTTAGGCTGGGAGAGACATCCACAAAGCCCTACCTTCTTATGGAGTTGTTTATGAGACACTGAACTCTCAAGCTTTTTTTGGAAAACCTTTATTTAAATGCTTGAAATTTTGCTACTGGGTATGCCTCGCACTTCACTGTCTTGGCTGAGCCAAGCATTACTTTGCAAGCAGTCTGATAATTAGAGAAATGCTGATTATGCCAGTGATCAGATAGGAGGAAGACAGTGGGGTTAGCAGGTAGACGTCAGAATTTCTGGCTATAGTCTCCCCTGTGTGCAAATTAATCTATGGTGCCGCATGCTTGCTAACTGCCAGTGTCCCTTATTTGGTGGGGCTTGTGTGTGGGCATTGCTGCCAAGCGCGCCGGTCACTTGAACACCCTTATCATCTTGTTCCAGTTTGTAACTTTTTTCTGTTAAAGCTGCAAGTCTCCTTCAGTCTTACTAGATCTCTTATCAGTGTGAACATTACTCAGAGACATTATACAGCATGTTAGCTTAGTAAAGGACACTACAGTAGCTGACAACTCCCTGGTAGCTGCATTTTTTTTCTTTTTTAAGGTAATTAACAAAGGCCCCGCCTGCATTAATGCTTTTGTCCACAGATCCAAGAATGCAGGAGAGGAACTAACACCTGGAAGACAAAACTGTCTGAATCCAAATATAGGCTAGCCGTGAGCACTTCACAATGAAGGACATAGCAGATCCTTCCCAAAGACACTGAAGATTAGATACTTTTGAAGTGGTGCTTCCTGTTGCTGGATTTAAGTCTCCATACAGCAGTGTAAGCTCAGACTCATGTAAGAGAACAGCCAGAGCAATCCCAGACCGCACTGGTGATTTGCAGTCAGCTTTAGCCTGGAGCAGGGCACGTGACAAGCACAAAGCGATGCTTTGTCTGTTGGGCAGAGAGGGGGAAAACCTCCTTCCAGCAGGTATTTTAGAGAACCAGACTGGTATAATCCAAGTTGGTGTTTTTCCAAGGCACTGGGCTTACCTTGTGCTGAGCACCACTACCCCACAGCATCCTTGCTTCTTCCGTCAGCCCTAGAGCGTAGGAAATGCATATGTGCACAGCCTCCTCATCTCAGCAATGCTTTGTAATATGTGCTCTGTGCTGGAAGGCAGCTGTTGCTGTTGCACTAGTCAGACCGCTGGAGCAGGTTTGGAGCAGCCCTGCTTGGAGAGGCTTTGGCTGAGAGCATTGTGCCTCCTCAGCCTGCTAACGCCTCCTTGCACGAGCAAGCTTGAGTCTGGAAACCTCTGTCTAGGAACACATGGGGCAGATGCCGGCCTCCCTGTGGACTGGGAGTATTGCCATGGCAGCACGTGAGATAGGATGGGAATCCCTGCACAGAGGCAGCTGCTCACTGTCCGCTGAAAAACTCTTCCAGGGAAGCTGAAAACTTGCTGATTGACAAGCCTTTGGGTTGCTTCCTTGTTCGGATCAGCCAGAGCCGACCGGGCTACACCTTGACATACAGGTAGGTAATAACCCTTGCAGAGAAGGTAAAAAGAAGGTCCTAAACTGAGCAATGCATGGCTGGAGGAGTTAACTTCCTCCACAGAGGAGTCCAGTGAGGATGATGCTCAGCCTCTCCTGTTGCAGGTCCCTCAGACAGTTTGGAGTAGGAGACAGAACACTGCGGAGTCTGCCTCTTGCCAAAAAATAGATCTACTTGTGGGTGGGGTGCTGCGCCTCCAAGGGTGCAGGTCCTGCTTGGGCTGTGCTATATGGCTGAGTGGGCAAACCAGGTTGGAAGAACATTGACTGGAGTCTAGAGGAGATGAGTGCAGAGGAGGGTGTGAGGAGAGGCAATCAGAGTGCTACAAGGGCATGGTCTTTGTACAGCCTGAGGCAAAGGGTAGGGCAGAGTTGTAATGTGGACAACAAGCATGGGAGGTGGTACAGTCTGCTGGGGTTTGGATCCGGCTGCTGGGGTTCTACTGTCACTGATGTTGTGGAAATTCCTGCTCCTCCAGCACCTACTAGCACAGTGTGTGACACTCCAGCATGGAGCATCTCCTGCATTTTTGTGATATTTGTTACTGTGGCTCCTGATCACATCTGGCCTCTTAAGACAACAAGTGCAGAAAGCAATGACTGGGTCCTGGAGAGACATTGTGGCCCCATGCCATGACTATTTCTGTCTGTCCATCTCCCCAGGGGTGAAGGCCGCTGCAGACACTATATGATCGAGATGCAGCCCAATGCACGCTATGTCATCCTGGGGGAAGACCGGGCTCACGCCTCGCTCACCGAACTGGTTCGGTATCACCAGACTGTGGGCATCCAGCCCTTCATGGAGATACTGACTGTTCCCTGTGGGCAGGTGAATGTTGAGGGTCTGCGACCAGAAAAGGGGATGGGGCATGGGCTGTGCCCTGAGCAGACAGAGCCACTGCGGCAGCATCTCTCTTTTGTGTTCCTGTTGTGGGTATCCCCTTCTGGCCAAGCAGCTTGGCCTCTTCTGCATGCACTGGGAAATGCCACTAGCTGGGCACTGGGGAGTCCTGGGGTGGGGGAGAGGCCCTGGCAGGTGGATGACATGCCCCTGCCCCCTGAACGTCAGCAGTGGTCACAGCTGGGTATTCCTCTTTGTTGTGGTGTTTGGGGTGTGTGGAGGGTCTGCAAGCCACTGCTGAATCCACTCCTCCCTCCCTCAGAAAAGTAGTGAGAGTTTGGATTATGAAGATCTGGAGCGCCTCAGGCTGGGTGCACCAGCAGCCGAGGGGGAGACCCCTCCAGAGCAGCAGCCCTGCCCCTCCAGGTCTTCCATCAGCAGACCTGCTCTGCAGTCAGGAGCAGCCGCGGTTCTCAGACACGTGTGGTTCAGGAGGACCGAGAATTGCCAAAACGAACAAAGCCTGGACAAGAGTAGGACAAAGCCAAGCTCAGGCAAGGAGAGAGGCAGCCAACGAGCTTTCCCTCGCCTCCACTCTTCCATACGCCTGGCAATGCAGGAAATCCAGCAGGTGAGCTGGGGCATATCCTCTGCCAAACCTTGCCACCACAGCCACTCTGGGAGACATGGAGCTGCCCTGCCCAGGGGCAGGAGAGGGGAGGCTTCCACAAATACACTCGGTTTCCTAGCTCCTGGGTCACAGGTTTTATTTGGTGGTCTTGGGTCAAGACTGTGTTCATTGGAAGTGCTGGGCTAGGGGAGGCCCTGGGAGAGGCTCGCTGAGATGCCCAAAGAAAAGTCCACAACAGAAGGGGCTGTGATGTGGCCAGCGTCCCAGTCGCTGCTCCCCTAATGCTGTCTCTCTGCTTCTCACTGCAGTTCTCTTCCACTCCCTTGAGCACCTCTGAACAGAGCTGCCATCAGACTCTCAGCATTAAGGATGTAAAGCCCAAGTGACACGGTAAGAGGAGACGGCACACAGGAGGGCAGACAGCAATTGCAGCTTCCCCGGGAAATGGAGGAGCAACGGGGCTCTTCCCTTCCTGCTCCACCTGGCACATCTCTTGGCCACCAACTACCTAGAAACAGAGCAGGAAAAACGGGGCAGTGACCAGCTTCCATTCCAGGACTGCAAAGAGACCAGGAAAAATGGGAAAAATCAGCATAAAGTTGGGTTCCCAGCACCCGTGGTGCACAGTCTGCTTGCAGTACAATAACAAGGCTGCTGGAGGGAGCTCACAGTTTGTTAGAGGCCTGGGGCTGGAAGGACGAGTGCTATCGGAAAGCATATCTGCACACTACAGTAGTCAGCTGCAGTGGCTTAATGTTGTGGAGAGACGCACGTATCAGAAGTGGGTGCTGGGCAGAGAGCCCTGGGGGGTAGCAGAGGCAATGAGCCAAAGGCAAGGCTGAGAACATAAGAACAGTCTGTGAGGACTTTAAACAAGGTCTCAGCAGCTGGAAACAGCTGGTTACTGAGGCTGTAATATACTGGGTGGGTTATAGGAGTATATGGAGTGGGCCAGGAAGGGCCACCTGACACAGTTGGCTATGCCCAGTGTGTTAATTGTCTGTAGCATCTGGTGGATGAGCAGCTCCCCCGCGCAGACAGTGGGTAAATCCCTGTCCTATTCAGTTGCTGAAGGCAGAAGGAAGCAGTAGTGCTGTTGTACACCTCTGGAAAAATCTGGATTTGTGTCAGCTGGGAGTGGAGAGGGATCAGAAGACCATGCTGTTGGCTGCAGAACCACTGTGGGGCTTGCAGCCTTGCGCCAGGATTGCCGAGTTCCCTGCATGATTCTGCTCCCAGGAATTTGTGTTGGAGCAAAGCTGTTTAGCTGGGGCCTGTCTTGTCTTCCTCTTCATGGCTGAGAAAATACTCTCCCTGAAGTGTTTGACTCAACTGCTTCATTCCTGTATGTGGGTATTCATATACCGAGGGGATGCTCCTTGTGTCTGAGGTTAGGCAGAAGAAAGACAAAACGTGTGGGATCTGCATAGATGACTGCAAGTGTGTCGTACTGGGATTGCTGAGTGGAGCCCTCTTTTTATGTCCTCCACTGAGTTGTGTGTCTTGACTTTCTTGCAGGTCAAAGTGGCTCAGCCCTGTCCTCTTCCAGTGCTGCCTAACTGGGTGAACATATCCAGACATACAGCAGCCTTTTTTCTCCCCCCCCCTTTTTTTTTCTTTTTGTTTTTGCTGCACCCAGCTGGCCCTGTGCCTTTAGACAGGACTGCTGCAGAAATGAACTTTCATCTGCACTCAGCCGGTCTCGGTGGCTGAGACTGCAGTATCTGGACCAGTCTCATCCTGGCAGAGGGGAGAGGATGGGAGCAGTCACAGACTGCACAGATCCACAGTGCCTGACAGTCTGCGTGTCGATACTTCAGCGTGCGTGGAGACCCCTCGCTGCGCACCGTTAATAGTCACAAACTGGATATCTCCCAACAACGTGTTCTCTCACAGATACCTGTACTGATTTCCTACCTGTTTCTTTTCAAGTCCTCTGTTTTGGTCCTGTGTATCTGCTGCTCTGGGTGCCCAGGGAAGCTGGGCTTGGGCTTGGGAAGTAAGGAATGAGACTGGTGTGTCCTTTTTGCTGAGCAGAGGAGCACTTGAACAGGAGCTGAAACAAGGGGCAAGAAGATCTTTCTGCAGAGGGAATTTCCTGCCCGTGCATCAGTGTGCTGGCACGCTGCTCCCAGTCCTTAGCCAGAGCTCAAGTCAGGGAGTCACTGATTAAACCCTCTTGTTCATCCTGGTTGGAATCACTGCAAGTCCAGGCTGGACAACATCCTACAACATCCTGTCTACACTGAGGGTAGAGGCCTCGCAACATACAGGACCACGCTACTTGTTATGTATTTTCTACCTCTTAAAATAAATTTCTTTTCTTCCTATAAAAGGAGAAGATCAGCATTTTCTTTGTTTCTGTTACCTGCAGTCAGTTCAGCCAAATGGAGGAGAACGGCTAACGCCTCTGAGGGTAGGCACAGGATCATGTGAAGTTTCTCAGTGGAGAAGCTGAAGGCTCATGGGCCAGTAATCCTGGTGTACAACTGCCACCCATAGTAGTGCTCTTCTCCCACGCCAACTCCCGTGGCATACACGGGCAAGACCTCCCCTTTGCAGCCTGCGCCCAGCTCCCTCTGGCTCAGTGCTCCCCTGGCAGAGCCCTCGGCACCGGAGGACAGCCATGCTGCCCACCCTGCTTCACTCCTCCCTGGGAGGCAGGAGTGCTGCTGAGTCCGGGTTGCATAGGCTGGCGCTGCGGCTGGCGAAGCTTATTAATGTGGTACGGGATGCTTGTGGCCTGTCTTAGCACTGCCTTTAACCATGGGATTCTTTCTCTTCCCTCCCCTGCGGTCTCTGGAGCAGCAGTGCTGAGCTGCACCAGGTCACAAGGGAGCACCACTGGGGACCAGATGGGGAAGCGGTGGTTGTTCCAGCCTGACATCCCGGCTCTCCCCAGCACTGCCTTGCGGCGTTAACACACCTTTTCTCTTCCTTGTGCTGGGTTTTGGCAGCTGCTTTGAGGCTGTTCAGGACCGAACCAGTCCAGGCAGTCAAAGGCTGCTGTTTGCAGTCTTCCTGGCTAAGCCCAGGGGTGTTTTGCTGGGCAGCCTCGGCCTCTGTGCCAGTGTTCTCCTTGGCTTCCTCCACCGCTGGGCAGCTGGAAAGCCTGCCTTCTGAGCAGCACGTAGAACCACACCATGGCCAAAACATTTCTAAGAATTCACTACTACACAGAACTGAGACACATATGAGAAATGCATTTCAGCAACGCAGCTGCAACTCTTTCCTAGTTCCTGTGCCACAGAGCACAGTGTAAGCCCAGGGCTAAGATCCAGCTGCAAAACACTGTTGGCTCCTGTAGTCTGGCAGGGATAATTCTGAACCAAGGAGGGTGGTGAAGAGCTTTCCCCCAGCAGCTGCCTCCAGTACCTCCTGCGTGCTGCTGCAGGCACAGCTCAACGGTGACGCTGGGGGGAACATCAGGGGAGCATCAGGACATTGCTCTGGTGGCTCTGCACGGCATGTCTCCTGGCAAGCTTCCCAAAACCAGAGCAAGATCGATCACAGATTTCTTTTGCCCCTGATTCAATGGGTGGGAAGTAGAATCGCAATGTGGGCAGCCAGGAGCCTGGCACGGACCCGGGCAGCACATCTGGGCTGGCAGGTCAAGTTTCTTCCACGTCTGCCACTTTTGCTTTTTCTGTGACGCAGCAAGAAGAAATCAAGGGAAGAGAAGGGTGAGAAGCTGCTAGGCTGAGGAGGCTATGCAGCACTGGAGGCACTGGCATGATTTCTGCAAGGCTCTGGTTTGCAGGAGCATTAGCAAGCACTCAGTGCTCTGCCTATATGCAAGGTCTCGCCAAGCTTCTGGAGAGCAGTCTGGCTAGTGCTGGGCTGCCGTGGGGAGAAATGCGTGCCAGCAATGCAGAAAAGCTGGGAGAAGAGCTAGGAATACAATAGGCTGCTAAAGTGCAGATTTGACATCTCCAGAGTGGTCTTTGCCTGCACGCTTCCAGCTCATGGCCAAAGTCAGGCACTGGAGCTTCAGCTCTGTGTGAGAGCATGAGTTATGCTAAGGATTTCTTTCATCTTCTCCCTGGAGCTGATCTTATCCATTGAAGAGGAGCAGCTGCGTGAGCAGCCCTATCTCATTTCCTACGGCAGCAGCTTCCCTTGTGGCACTCGGAAAGTGATATCTTAGAAAAAGCAAAAAGCAAACTGCGTAAGCCAAAGTGGGAAGGTCGTTCATGTTATATCATGTTATAGTTCAGCTGGTGTGTGATGAACCGAATAGGGAAGTACTCACATAAAAGGCTGTGTGGGTTTTGGCTGGGATAGAGTTAATTTTCTTCATAGTACCAGAGCTGGTATGGGGCTGTGTTTTGGATTTGTGCTGAAAACAGTGTTGATAACACAGGGATGTTTTAGTTACTACTGAGCAGTGCTTACACAGAGCCAAGGCCTTTGCTGCCCCTCACCCCACCCCACCAGCGAGGAGGCTGGGGGTGCACGAGGAGCTGTGCAGTGGGGGGGAGTGAGCGAGCAGCTGTGTGGTGCTTAGTTGCTGCCTGGGGTTAAACCACGACAAAGGCAAATATCGGGCTGTATTGGGCTGTGTGAGTGGGGGCAGCACCCAGAAGAGGGCCTGGCAGCCCGCAGATCCCCGAGCGCTGCATTTCATGCCCATGGGACTTCAGCTGAGCTCCGAGAGGAAGGCTAGGAAGAGAAGTCCGGGCATGGGGAGCTGGGCAGAGCCAGCACCCAGGAAGGTAGGAAGAGCAGCAAGAAGGATCTGCAATGCACAGGAGCAAGAACTGGAAGTGCTAGAGGGACCTCTAGGCTTAGCAGCTTGGGAGGAATTTTATTTCATAATCTGTGCCTTCCTGGTCATCCCCCCCCACTCCATCCCTGCAACTGGTGCTTCAGTGCATCCCATAGACAGCTTCCCTAACCTGCCTCCTTGTTTTTGCAGAAGGGTTTTGTGTCCCTTTCTTATCTCCCTTCGTGCTTTACATTTGAACAATCTGGGCTGCAAACAACCTTTTAGCTAATCACCTCTAGGCCAAGAGCTACTCCAGATCAGTCTCTTCTGTCCAAACTAAAGGTCTGGCTTGCCTTGGGCCCTTGAGGTATCTGGCCAGCAACTCCCCATCAGGCTGGCTAAAACAGAAATTTTCATTCTTCTGTCCTTCCATTCTCAACACTTCTTGTTCCCCTTTTTCCCAGCTCTGCTTTTTCCTCTCCTTTCCTCAGTCTGGCCATCACCTTTGATGTAGACTTGGGGTTTAGGAACGTGATCCTGTGACCCAAGGACCAGTACAGCTCTTAATCTCCTTTCACTAAACTGGCAGCCCTCGTGTTGTTTGCTTTCTTCCTGGGCAATACAATGGTGTATGTTGACATGTTTCCTTCCCCAAATGTGTTTTAAAAACCTACTTGG